TGACTGGGAGAAACTGGGATGCTGAGTGAAGCTGACAGCTGAAGCCTCCAGGGATTACAGCCAAGGGAAGTAGGGGAGCTGGGAGAATCTCTAAGGTGCCCCTTGGCCAGCTGGGGTGGGGATCAGTTTAGAATGGAGAGTGTCTGTATCGCCGATGGGAGACAGTGGGATGTCCTTAGGAAGGTCCTGGGCCTCAGATGGATGGACACAGCGGCCGCGACAGTGGGCTCAAGCATAGGAACACTGGTGATGGATGCGTGGGACTGGGCAGTGTTTCGTTCTGTTGTGCAGAGGGGTGCGATAGGTCCAAATTTACTCCTTGGCACCTGACAACAACACCGTACATCTATTAGGTCTTAATTTCCAAATTAGTGGAAAAACAGTAGAACTAGACTCAAACCGGAATGGGTATGGGGCCTGGGAGCTGACAAAGACACAACGAGGAGAATGGAGTTTTATGATATTTCTCTTAAAATAGAAGGACCATCATCATCATCCACCTGTCCAGTGCTCAACTTGTCCACCTGAGAGTGAACATTTGTTTTAATTTGCCACAATCCTCTGTGAAGATGGTAGGTCAGATGAAAATCTAGAATGTTCACTTTTACTTTAATCATGAGAACTCCGAGACGGTGCAGTGATGGGTATAGCATTTCAAAGTGAACATAAACTGGAAGCCGGAGACATTAATAAGCAATTTAATAAGCAATAAGAATTTAATAAGCAATAGATCAGCATTGGATGATTTCTCATTAGAAGACATATCCATATAAGATGCATTTCCTGCAATTTAGTCACTGGGCGGATTGAACTGTATTAACGTCAGACTCTTAATCTTTGTTTAAGACAACAAAGGGTGACCTGGGCTTCTCGCTGAATTGGAAGGGTCTTCACTTAGAAATCCAAAGATTCCCACTGCTGGCATGGTGTTTTTTAAAAAATCCCCTTCTCCTATCATTTATCAGGCATTGAAGAACAAAAAATCATATCATTGTGTGCTCACCTTCCCGAAACGATTGCTGAAGACAAATGGGTGCATAAGCA